ACCTTTTTTTTTTCTACTTGAACCTACCTAACTTGGGAAATTAAGTGTCTAAGATCTGGATTGCTACATATGTAAGCTTTATTTGGGGCAAATTTTTCAATTTTTTTTCTAGTATAACATAAAACTGGGGTGTGTTAGCCAATTGTCAGTTTTGCAGACAAATGTACTTCCTGTCATTGAACTATGATCTAAAGAAAACTGAAATATCACAACTGAGATTCAGCTTTGGTAAGGACAGCCTAGGCCAGGTTGTAATAGCCCCTGAATTGTCTCACTGCCACTATCTGAGTACTTCTTATGTGATCATTTAAGAACAGACCAATAGAACTGAAGTCCACATCACTCAGACATTATTCAGTGCAGAAGAAAATGAGGAATACTACTGAACTAAGCATAAAAGTAATATTTAACTAGATCATACTCTGAAATAATGAGTGGATTTCATCCCTACTGAAATCAGAGTGAAAAAGTAAACTGATTTTTTTTACATTGGACTAAAAAGAGAAAATGTACATTTTTAAGACAATGTTATGGCTTCATGACATTGTCTGAAAATTCATAAATATGCACATTAATTCAATAAAACATTAAATTTTGAAGCAAAGTGGTTACAAAATAAATCTACCAATGTAAAATTAGACACACCAAATTCATTATCAATTATAGTACTTAATATTGGTTGAAATATATTGATAATTAAGCTAAAGTCAAGCAGTTGATTCCGGATGTACCAGTTTACACTGCTTTGTTTCCAAGACACAGGATGAATCACAATGCCCAGCTGTCTCTGAAGGACGCATTATTGAAGAGGGGTACGGAGCCAGCATGTACACAGATGAGTCCAATTCCATCACAATGGTACGAAAAACACTTCAGCACATTTTCTGAAGAGAATGGGTCAGCGGCTTAATGCTTATTTCAGTTTGGCACTGAGCATGTGTCCCTCATAGACAGATGCTTAATAATAGTTCTTTGTAATGTTAATAATCGTGAAGACTAGACACATTTTAAAGCTAGATTACTGCTTTCTAAAACAGGTAATTTTAAGACTGAGTTTCATTAAGAGTACAGCCAATTCATCAACCATTAGTTCCTGAATCTTCTAGGCTCAAATTGTAACGGATATATTAAAATTATTAAAATTTCTGCTTGCTAGTCATGCTCTGTGATATAATAACACTTACATATTAATATCTCACTGCAATGATACTTACTTGTGAGAACACACACACACACACACACACACACACACACACACATGAACTATACTTCTTTTTTCAATTTATTTTGTGTATATGAGTGTTTGCCTGAATGACTGTTCATGTACCTCATGTGTGTCTGGTGCCTGGAAAAGCCAAAAGAAGGTGTTGGCTACTGTTGAACTGGTGTTAGAAGATAGTTCTAAGCTGCCATGTGAGTACTGGGAACAGAACCCTAGTCCTCTGCAATTGCAACAAGTGCTCTTAAACCGCTGAGTCATCTTTCCAGCTCCAATTTCCTTTATAGTTTTATAGCTCAGATATGAAAAACAATTTTTGGCCTCAATATTCTAAAAGGGAATAAAAATTGATGAGATGTTTAGTCATAGTAGAAATAGTTCTAAGTCATTCAAAAGCATATTTTTACCTTTATCTTTACAAACCAGTCATTCTTTTGACTGCTACATAAAGCTGCTACCCTATTCCCCAAGCCCTTGAATTGGGCTGTCATCTCAATTTCAACAAATATGGAAACTGCTCTAACCTGACACTGGTAGATTGTGGTGTTCATAAAATTACCAAGTATGTGTGCCCAGAAAAAGTTATAACTTCATTTAACTTAGTGAAAATAACAAGTGGAAACAGGTATCAGAAATAAGGAAGACAAGCTTCAATACTTCCCATGAAAACAGATATTTTCCCCTGTTTGTGTTAGGTAGATGTTGAGGCATTGTGGTACAGTTTTATCTATCATTAACAAGACATTATGCTTAAATACTTTAAATACAAGTTTTATA